ATAAAAATAAAATAAGAACTATTATAATTATATGATATTGAACTTATTGTTGAACTCATCAGCTGTTTTTTGTCTGCATGAAATGTGAATATTATGATAAGCTACAAAAACTAACAACATTTACACCTTAGATAGTACTAATCGGTAATCGCTATATTATGATAATGATTATTGATTATTTTTATTTACAATTACAATTTTGTTCGTGCCGTTCGTAGTGATTCAGAAATTTGTATTGAATTGATTACCCTCCATATAGGTTAATCAATAATCATTAATTTCCATTATTATAATTGTATTAAAATTGTAGAAAATCAAAATTGGTAAATGTTTTATTTTTATTTTTATTGTACGTCTCGTGTATGTGTTCACTTTTCACTAATGAATTGGTTTTCGTTTAGGTATCTAATTATTATTAGGGATGGCGGCGTTTGAAGAGATGGGAGTTTTGCCCGAAATAGGTAAAGCCATTGAAGAAATGGATTGGCTATTACCTACAGACGTCCAAGCTGAAGCGATACCTCTAATACTTGGCGGTGGTGATGTATTAATGGCCGCGGAGACTGGTAGCGGTAAAACGGGAGCATTCTGTTTACCAGTTATTCAAATAGTGTGGGAAACTCTCAAACAATCCAGTAAACACCAGGGAATTTTACCAGTCAAAGTGTCTAGTCACGCAGATCCTTGGGCCATGAGTGTCTGGGATCGTTCTTCTGCTGTGGCTGTGACTCCAGATGGTATAAAATGTCAATCAAGAGAGGTAAAGGATTGGCATGGTTGTAGAGCTACTAAAGGCGTTAGAAATTCGGGAAAATATTATTTTGAAACAACTGTCACCGATGAAGGTCTATGTCGAGTCGGATGGTCAACACCAGGAGCCGTGTTAGATCTGGGTACAGATAAATTTGGTTTTGGTTTTGGTGGAACTGGCAAGAAGTCAAACAATAAGCAGTTTGATTCTTATGGAGAGAGTTTTGGTTTAAATGATACCATCGGCTGTTGGTTGGATCTAGACAATTGGACTATAGGATTCAGTAAAAATGGTAAATATCTAGGCGACGCATTTAAAATACCTGTAAATCTGAAAACATCTGCATTTTATCCAGCTGTTGTATTAAAAAATGCTGAAATAACATTTAATTTTGGTGAATCATCATTGAAATATGAAATTCCCAAAGACTTCTCTCCTATTAGTAAGGCACCTAGCAATTGCATTGAACTTTCTCAGTGTAATGCTCCAAAAATAAATTCAAATACAAAAAAGCCAAATAACGCACCATATGCAATAATTATTGAACCTTCTAGAGAATTGGCTGAACAAACTTTTAATCAAATTAAAAAGTTTAAAAAATACCTTATAGAACCTCAAGTTAAAGATCTCCTAGTAGTTGGTGGTTTTAGTATTAAAGATCAAATTGCTGCCTTATCTGCAGGTGTTGATATTATTGTTGCTACACCTGGCCGCCTAGAAGACCTTATATCTGGCAGCCATTTATCTTTATCTCAGTGTAGATTTTATATACTAGATGAAGCCGATGGATTATTAAAACAACGTTATACAAAGCTCATAGAAAATCTCCACGAGAAGATGCCAAAAGTTTCAAGTGATGGTAAGAGACTTCAAATGATTGTTTGCTCAGCAACACTTCATGATTTTGAAGTGAAAAAATTAGCATCGCGTCTTATGCATTTCCCAACTTGGGTTGATCTTAAAGGTGAAGATGCTGTTCCAGAGACTGTACACCATGTTGTTGTTAATGTTGATTCCCAAAAAGATTCATCATGGATTTCTTTGAAAAATCACATACCAACTGATGGTGTACATGATAGAGATAATGTAAGAGCTCTTAATACATCTGAAGCTTTATCTCAGGGAATAAAGCTTTTAAAGGGTGAATACTGTATCAAAGCTATAAACAAATACAAGATGGACAAAGCTCTCATATTTTGTCGCACTAAACTTGACTGTGATAATTTAGAAAAATACTTCAAACAACTTGGTTCGTTTTATACTTGTTGTACTCTTCATGGATCGCGTAATGTTAATGACCGTAGAATGAATTTAGAAAAGTTTAAAAATGGTGCAATCAAGTTTTTAATTTGTACTGATGTAGCAGCTCGTGGAATTGATGTTAATGGGTTACCTTTCATGATTAATATGACTTTACCTGATGATAAAGCTAATTATGTACACAGAATTGGCYGTGTGGGTAGAGCAGAACGTATGGGATTGGCCATTTCATTTGTGGCAACTACCCCAGAAAAAGTGTGGTATCATGGTGAATGGTGTCCATCGAGAGGTCAGAGGTGTTCAAATACTAATTTAACTTCTATCAAAGGTTGTTGCATATGGTACAATGAACCCCAATATTTAGCTGAAATTGAAGATCATTTAAACATTACTATACAACAGGTTGATTCAGAACTCGACATTCCGATGAATGAATTTGATGGAAAAGTCACATACGGCCAAAAAAAAACAAATAAAGGACCCATATATAAAAATCATTATGATCAACTATTGTCTACTATCAATGAACTCACACAATTAGAAACTAAGGCTCAATATTTGTATTTGCACATGCTTAATAATTAACTGTAACAATTCGTACAAAGTACATGTATTTAAAAAAAACATAAGATACATTTTTATATTGAACATTTCAGAATATAATTTTATTCTCTAAATTTCTGACTGAGTTTTGTTTCTAATTTTATACACTTGTATAATTATATACTGAGTGTTAAAAATCATAAATTACAAGCTATCTTTTTTCATTCCAGTACCAACGGGTCCATGGCGTCTCTCCCATAACATGCGATTCAGTTGTTTTGCATAGCATCTTTCAGCAGTGACGGCAACTCCCAAATCACCATCTACAAAACAAAAATTAATGTCATCTTTAGTATTTAAATTTTAGCATATTAAAAATTATATTATATACTGACATTTGATTGAGTAATTTTCTTCTGCTTTTTGGTAAATGTCTGACAATGGTTTGCATTTCCTCATGCCATCTGGTGCTTCATAAATACGACAATCTTCATACCTCTGTCTTAAAATAGATAGAATATTGCTATCTACCAGTCTGTAAAATTTAAAATTACATGTTTTAATATGTAAGTCTCATACTTAAATAAAGTAATTAAATATTTTCTTCTAGTAAATAAGAATTTCAATAATAATCTTTGTATCAGAAAACCAATATCTAATAAATATTTCCCTGTTTTAGATTCTGAGCAGATAGATGAATGTATTGGTATTACAATGTGTATTTGTTATGTTTTGAGTCRCCATCAGAAACAGTAAAATGTTTTGATTTACAAATTTGGGATTATTTCTGAATTTCTAATAGAAAATTAAGTAGCGGATATTTAAATATTTTAAAGTTTTTAATTGTAAAAAATGAAATTAAAAAATATTT